GTATATACACACCCTCTGTCTACACACCCTATATATATATATATATATATAGGGTGTGTAGACAGAGCGGATTAAATAGAGTCGAAAAATCTTCTACCATTTTGCAATTTTTTTGTTACCCAGTGAACAGAATGTCTAAAATCGATCCATGAAACAACTTTAAGATACCTTTAAAAGTTTAAGAAACATCTTTAAAATATTTTATAAAAAATTCTGAAAGAAATCTTGAAGTTATTTTATGCGTCGACTTTACTCACTTATTCGACAATCTTTAAAAATTGATAACTTGTTTACTAGTGCGAAAATAGCAAAATAGTAGAGGATTCGATTCAGTTTAGTCCGCTCCATTTATATACGAGCGCTTTGTCGAAACTTATTGGAGTATATTATACCGTGTATATTTGCCATATCTGATACAGCGAAGCGAGAAGGAAAAAAAATATATGTATATATTCGCCTCTCGATCGAAAATCAATAGCGCCTCGTCATATCGCGATCAGTATGAGATTCCCACAAAAGCCAGAAATCTTGTCAGATCGCCTGTCATTCGACGAAGAAACTTCGGTAACGCGGAGAGTCAGAACGCGAGAGCCCGGGAAAAAGTTCGTGGCGATGCAAAATCAAGATTCGCCGTCAGGTCGACGCGATGGCGAACTCCTCGAGTGCTCGACGCACAAAAGCACCACAGATTGCGCCGATTGCGCGTTATATCTCCCCAGGAGAGAGTTGGCGGACGCGGAACTCGCGAGTAAACTCGAGCAAAAACGCCAACCGGGAACTTCAGCAGACAAATCGCCCTTCCGTAAACATTGGTCTATTCGACTTTTCTAATGCAATTTTTTATCATGGGATATATTGCGAATTCTGTTTCCCCCCGTCGAAGAGAAAAAACTACCCCGGACAATTACCCGGGAAAGTAGCTGTTCTTCGAACTGAATCGATTTCAACCGGCAAACTAGGAGGGTGCGATTGAAGAACTACTTTGGGGAAGGCAAACCATTAAATGTTCTGATCTTACAAATTCGCCCGCAAATTTGCAAGAGTGTCTCCAAGTATGTTGATGATGTTATTCACCGTCTTTGATGTGTGAACTTATCGCGATTATAGTGATGTCAGAATCAGGAAGTGACCAGCGTCCAAGCGGAAAATGGAAGAAAAATTACTTTAAGAAGATAGATAGTGTTGCTGTTATGCCAGATGAATATCATGTATGATGAATGACCTGTTAATATATACACGAAACAAGATTAATATCCATTTAATTCATTATTAAAGCTTATATTAATCTGGAGTTAATTAATATTCTTTTAGCTTTAAATGTAAGCTTTCACAATTTCTCTCTGTTATTCAAATTTAATTTTTTCATTAAAATCTTAGGTAATGATATTAATCAAAATAATTATCTAAGTTAAAAATAATTTTAAAATAATATATTAACTTTATATTAATATTAAAATAATATTAAATATATTTTTTTTATTTTCTGCTTTTAGAATACCACATTGCTCTCCGTGTGGGAGGACAACAGTGTAGTAAGTGATATAATAGTGGAAAGATCGCAGCCGATCGTCCTTCGATACAAAGTGCCAGTTCCTGGTGGCTTTAACGCCCAGGTGAGACTCTTAATACCACCTGGTGCTGATATGAGCGGTGCCACCAAGTACCCCATGCTGGTTTATGTGTAAGTTATTTAGCTTTTTCAATAGATAAAAAAAACTCTCTTAGATAAAGGCATACGCATTATACTCTCGTTTGTTACACACTTTAGTCGAGTAATTTGAAATTGTTTTCACATTTGCACGAATAAAAAACATATTACATGTATTTGATTTTTATGAATTATTATTTTTTTATATAATTTTTTTATAGCAAAATATTGTATGGTAGCATATACAAAATGTTTTACACGAAGAATATTTGTGAACGATCTAAATCTTTATTTGATTGATATTTTATGATTTTGTATTTTTAATTTTGTATTTTATCATATTTTATGAATATATAATATTTTAATTCTATCTTATGTTAATTCCATTTTCTGAAACTGTAAAGAAAAAACGATTTTGCTGAAATATCTAAAAATTTAGCTAGATATACGAACAGATCTGAAAATAATTTTGTTATACTATCAAAATAATTATGTATAGGATACTAATTATTTCTAAGAACACACGCGAGAGATACTTTTAATTGATATTTCGATTTCACAATTGCTAAAATTATGATTAGAATACTGAGAAATTCGAAAAAGCACTTTCTAGCTATCATTTAAATTCTTAAATCACGTCGTTTTTCGGCGTCACGTATATATCTCGGCGTTTCACTTAAAAAGCACCCATATTTTTCGCACGACAAGAAATGTGACAACGCACTTCACGTCATCAATTTTCGTCATAATGCACTTGTGAGATAAACGTAATGGAGGAGCCGATGACGAACATGCGGTAGCGGAGTAAGTCTGTGACATGAAAACGAAGCTCTTCTTTACGTGGCTTGAATTAGGACGGGATGTATAATAAAACCGCATGAAGCGATGAGTCATTCCGTATTCAGTCTCACGAAAACTTCAGCTTTCCCAATAAAAGCGGAACGTTATCGATCGATCCGCCCCGATATTTTTTCTAATGATGAAAAAATAGTCGAAATGACACGTTCGTCAAAAGAGAACTCGTAAAAACAAATGTATAACGTCTGCTTCCAATCTTGTTAATTTCTTTTTTGAATTTCATTCTTAATATTGAATCTTTTTTATATTTTAAAATATAATTTAAAATGCAATTTTTAAACTTTGGACAAATTTTATTTTGGACAAATATTTTTGTGTTTTATTGAAATGAGTACAGAAAGTTATAATGAAAATTATTCGTTTACATCGACTACGTATGTGTGAATCGATAATTTTGTTATGAGAATTCTAATTCTTTTTTGAAGTCATTAGTCGTTGTAATAGTGAGCATTTTATGTTTTCCACATTTCGAAAATGGCATGTGTATGCGGCAATACACGTCGTCGGTGAGCACGAGGCCGATATAAATTTCAGGCGTAATCTTAATAATACCTAATTTGTAGAGGCGTTCTTAGCCGAGCTCAAACTTTAGAAAATACATAGAGCTAGCTTATGATGGAAGTTGCCACGATCCGTCCATAAAGTGTAAGCTTTATATTGCACATTAACGATCAGGGAAAAAGTAACTCGTTCGTTAAGAATGCTTTATATAAGTATATATTATTTTCTTAGAATAACTGACTTATCATCAAATTTTAATTCGATGGGTACATTTTATAAAAACTTAATCTGGGAAAAATGCAGAGAATTTATATTATTTTGATGTAATGCTGTAAGTAGTTGTAATAATATATTATAGTAAAATTTATTAAGATTGATTTGTCTACAATTTTAGAATAATTTTCACATATATGAAGACAAAAATTTCAAAATAGGATACCATTATGATTATTCTTCCATATTTAAAAAATTTTTTAAAAGTCTCCTCTCATTGACAAATAATTCTCTTACTAGAAAGCAATTTATTGTTTCTTTAATTTCACTTGTGTTGTATGACAGAAAAATAAGGAAATATATATATTTTCAAAAAAAAAAAAAATTCCTTATGTATAAATGATCACTGATTTACATATCGATTCAAATGTTGCGTCTCATTCACATTAAATGTTTTATCGACTTTTGAGAATACAAAATGACGAGTAGCGTAAAATTAAACTCATAGGAGAACTATTATATTATAATTGTCACGCAAGTAGACGCGTCGCGTTCAATCGACGATGGAGAGTAAAGATTCGAGAAGTTTGAGCTTCAATCATTTGTTTTATAGTGGATTAATTGTACTATACTCGTGCGTGCGTACGTGCGGGCGGGTGGGTGGGCGTGCGGTGTGAAATGGTGTAGTGAATCGCGAAGTTTTCACATATCACGGATATTCGGATGATCGCTTATTTTCTCTGATTTTCAATGAAATTTCCTATACATTCACAGTCTAGATTAACAATTACGATGCTCAATGTTCGTGATACGAGACGTTTTCGAAACTAACGATGGGACCAGTGTAGAATTGAATGACGTTCTTATAATTACAAAATTTTAAAAAAGTTTCTGTCGTCTCTTTTTCTCTTTCAAATACGGTACAACAATAAATACGATACGGTAAAACAATACGAAAACATCGCTAAGACTGTAATGCTTAATTTAATGACATTAATATTCTATTTTCATGTGTTTATGTACTTAAGTTTCTCGCTTGATGTAAGTATGCGATAACAGAATCTGTTGTGATACGATGAATAACAACGACACGATGAAGAGCTCCATACGTATATAGCATTTCTAACTCTAACGCAATTCCAACTCATGAATCCAACTCTTTATCCAATTCGCTTTATTATAAAGACATGAAGTACATTATGATGGAAATAGCACGAAATTACACGTGGCAGCATTTACATGCATATTATTATATGAGATTATTACAGATCAGAATAATGTCAACCATACCTACATATGATTAAACCATATTAAAATCATACGATATCAGTGTATCACGATACCAGTGATTAATTTCTAAACGATATTTTAATTGCTCAATTTTGGCACAGTTAAAGTTCACTTTATTGTCCCATATGCGAATTAAAAAATAAAACTGTACATACATGTATGTAAATACATAAATAAATGTGTAAATTTTCCAATTAAAGGAATTATAATTTCGATAAATATGCAAATAGGAAAGACATTTCCGATGACCTTGACTTTGATATATGTTCAAGGTCATGACCCTCCACCAGGTTTTAGCCATCATTCGTTATTTATAAAAAAAAGTTATTAACAAAAAAAGTTTCAGTAAAACCTAACTTTTGGATACAACTGCGCTTCGATTAAACAAATTTCCTGCTTTAACAATGTAAAAAGTACTTACTTATATAATTTCTTATATAATTTTTATGTTTTTAGAATAGACAACTTGGCGAAAAAGTAACTTAGCGAGATGGGATGGAACTCGCTTCGCATGGAAAGTTGTGTAGTAAGGGGGGAGGTAAGGTGATAGTTGCTTCATGTGAAAGTCGTGCGCTCCTAAGTAGGAGGAGGGGAGATGGGATGACAATGACTTCCCCGTGTGGAAGTCATGCATTTTTAAGTAGGGGGGAGGTAGGATGAAAGTCGTTTTGTGTGAAAGTCATGCGTCCATAAGCAGGGGGAGGTGGGGTGAAAGTCGCTTCCCGCGTGTGGAAGTCGTGCGTCCCTAAGCAAGGGAAGAGGTGGGGTGAGAGTCGCTTTACAATTTCGAAAAGTGATAAAATATAGATACTTTAAAGCAAAAAATTACTGTTTTATATAGTAGAAAAGAGATCATCACATCATTTTTCAAACTTCCTTTGTTAATAACTTTTTAATAAATGACAAGCGATAGTTAAAATCTGATGAAGGTCTCTCAGGGTCATAACCTAGACATATGTCAATGTTAAGGTCATCGGAGCTGTCTCCTCTATTCAGCATATCAGCCATGCCAAATGTCATTTTTGCTAATTTTGAATCTGGTTTGAGAATTAATTAATTGAGAAATTTGTCATATAAGAAATTGGATCTTGTATGGTTTAGTATCCAATATAATCTATTCGTTAAAATCGTATATTTATCCACAAACACCAAGTTTTATTAGATCATCAAATAATATTATGTAGGCTGTCTCTAAGATGATTGCTTGAATATTAAAATTTTTGTTATTTAAGAAACTACTTATTATGCTTGATCATTCTATATAATTACTTTGACGAATCAACAAAAATTATTTTTAGATTTGTATCTAGTTTTTTTAAATACTTCAACAAAATCGTACTTTTCATGTAATTTAATATCGATTTATTATCACATTATATAAATATTTAAAATATTTTCAAGAATTTTGTAAAATTTTCAACACAGTTATTATAAGAGAAAAAATGCAGGTGTAAAGAAACAATGTACCACAAAACTAATTAGGAATTAATCACGCGCGTTTTAATAAATAAAAAAAATATATAAGATATTTTATTTCTTTCTTTAGCATTCTTATATTTTTGTCTCGCGGTTACGACTTTTCTATACGATCTAGTGTCTGATAGAGCAAATCATCGATTATCATTACTGTCTATTTCGATTGCGGTCTACTTCGATGCGATCTACATCGAGTATCATTATGGTCTATTATCATTGCGGTCTACTTCGATCGCATGCGTGTTTTACAAGACTATTGCCAGCGACATTTTCGAGAACATTTGCGTTTATATGACTTTATCCTCGGAATCGTTACTATCCGTCTTTATTTTCGCGTCAATGTTTCGTCTTGAAAAAAAATACCGTATCAGAAAAGCCATCTTTGTTCTCGAACTTCCATTTCCTAATTCTCGTCACTATTTGGGTTTTCTTTTCCTACATCTCCTCTAAACCTTCCGCAGAAGTGGTACAAAGACTTTCCCGCAAACAATCGTTAAAGTAGTACTTGCATAAAATGTTTTTTTTGCGGATGTGCTAAAATTTTAAAAGGTATAATAAGTTGCTCCCTATGTTTTTGTGCAATTAAAAACATATAGATCGTCTAGTTCTTGAGATAATTGTAATTGAAATGTGCAATTTTAATATATAATGCATATACGCAATTCAAGTTAACATCAGATTTGTAATTATAGCAT